CTCATCTACCCTATAGTCCTGATCTTGCACCTTTAGATTTCTTTTGTTCCCCAAACTCAAGGAGTGTCTAAAGGAAACATGATCTGAGTTTCTCTAGAATGCCAAAAGTGTCATTTTGATGGTGTGACATCAAAGAACATAAAATTCTTTGGAGAAGTTTATAGAGATGAAAACACCATCTTCCAGAGTTTAGAGACCTGATAGAAGGTATATTAAGAAACAAAATTTCACATTTTGATATTTTTGTTTAATAAATAGTTCTGTGACTCTGTAGCAAAGCTTTTTAAAATTTACTGTGCATCACAACTTTATCACATCTCCCATCTCGTGTCTAGATACAAATCCTCTAGTCTGTAGCCTTTTAAAATCTGCTGCTGCGCTAGGCTATGCCCACCATCCCATGATCAAACAAACACTCATGTTTACAAACACCCATGTTTACGTACAGTCCACTTCTTCAGCTTGTCCCAGAACACTTTGAATTCATCAAATTCTAGTTTTCCATTGCCGCTGGTCTGCATCCACACGTTAAGGAAGACATAAGCTGTGTTTCAATCGCAAGATCCTCATGGGAGTGCAGATCCTGGGGACTTTAGGTGAGAGAGGTTATAAACTAGGAACTTTCTGGGAGAACATATTGTTGTTTACCTGTGAGTTGCCTCTGACTCATGGTGACCCCATGCACAGTGGGACTGGAGTAATAGTGGGATTCAAATAATTTAACAACTGGTTTGTTGCCCTAATGACTATTTTAAGTATAAAAAATATGTATACCAAAAGGTAGTTTATTATTTCATACAGTTAATACATAATACATAAATAAGAACAATAAAGGAGGTACACAACTAGATTATATGAGTTTTAAAATATTAATGAAAAATGTCATAATATTTGACCAAAAAACCCAATAAAACTATTATTTAAGATATTCCCATATTGCGTCTTGACTGGTATCCTCACTTGCAATATTCTTCACTTTTGTTTAAGCATCATTGGCTTTGTGATTTATCTTTAATCATGGTTTCACTATAGGAGTAGAATCCCATTCCTTTAGAAGTAGGCCAATTAGACAATCGTCATTGTGTTTGATATATTCGAAACAGGCGACTTCTCTTCTCCGATACTATGTTCATCTTTGAAAAATCCCTTTCTCCTTCTGCGGAATATATAGCAATTGTTCTGACAATTTCCAGCTCCTTGAACACTTTCAGAAATTGCACAATTCACTAACATCTCTTGGGAATGTGGGTGTAACACAAAGCTGAAATGAATGACAGCGCGTCACCCACTGGTCATTTGGAACTTTTCCTCGTCACGGTCTATGTTTGCTTACTGAAGTAACAGATGCAAGGGAATAAAAACGTAGTATTTCGTCAGAAGTATAATGAGTTTTATGAAATGAATAGACATTACAAAGGGTGAACTGTATTACTGAATTACCACAGGCATATGGGATTCAAAATCAGCCTCCCCGGTAGGAGCCGAGGTGGTTTTAATTTTTAAACCACAGATCTCCGAAGAAAGGTAATGGCTGGGGTGGTATGGGAAGGACCTAAAAAACTCAAACTTCTTCCCTGTGTGGGACGGAGCCCCCTAGTGGAACAATACTTGACGTTCCTCCAAAGTACTCCCACCCCCTGCAGAGATTCTGTCCCATGTCTAGTATTAGAGGGTTCCCAGCCTTTGATTCTGCAAAGGTAAGAGCACCTTCTTAGGCAAGGATATAGCATTTTAGAAAAGTCTGCACCACAGAATAACACTCCCCTGTGCACAGAGGCCAGTATTAACATGCACTTCTGCCCACGCAGTTGAAAGGATACATCCATGAGAGAAATTATGTTCTTACAAGAAAGCAGGCTCAGCTTCTTGAACTTGATGTCCTTTCCTGAAATTACACATGAAAGCAGCATCAGTTGACACCTGGCTATGGGCAATACAAACACCCCGTGACTCAGTCGGCTGAGGGCCTATCAGTATGGGGGCGGGGCACTGATGTGGTCGTCTGGGAGGGGGAAAAAAAATCATACAGCGGGGAGAAAGTCTTCAAGTGTGAATATTCTTTCATCCATTTCTTCTAGTGTTAAGAATTCCAAATAGAGAGGTACACTAGAATTTGAAATAATAATTTTTATCATTAGTTTATTTATAATGACAAAAATTACAAATGGGATAAAAGACCAATATAAGGTCATTGCCATGTTCATATATGCCATATCATGCAGTCCCCAGGAATCATATTTTGAAGCATATTTCTCAACCTAGGGTAATGCTCATAATGGTTAAGCCTCTAAGGTAGAATTTAAAATTGTTGGGAAAATTGAAACCTTCTTACACTTGTGGTAGGAAAGTAAAATGGCGTAAAATGATGGTTGCTTAAAGATTAACCACAAAGATGCTATCTGATCTAGCAATTCTACTCCTCAGTGCAATTGAGCCGATTTCAACTCACAGCAACCCTGAAGGACCAGACAGAATGTCCTCTATGGGTTTCTGAGACTGTTACTCTTGATAGCGATAGAGAGTCTATTCGTTCTCCATCAGAGCAGCTGGTGGTTTCAAACTGCTGACCTTGAGGTTAGCAACCCAAAGCATAACCACTACACCACAAAGGCTAAGGAATGAAAGCACAAGTTCATGCAAATATTTGAACATAGGTTTACATAGCAGCATTAGTCACAGTAGCACAAAATGGAAATAACTGAAATGTACATCAGTTGATTGATAAAATATAGTATATACATATAATGGAGTATTGCAAAACATCAAACTCTTTGCCACTGCATCAATTCTGACTTATAGCAACCCTATAGGACAGAGTGGAACCGCCTCTGTGGGTTTCCAAGGCTGTAGATCTTGATAGGAGCAGAAAGCTTCATCTTTCTCCCACAGAGGGACTGGTGGGGTCAAATTGCCAACCTTTTGCTTCGCAGCCCACATATAACCCATTACACCAGTAGGGTTCCCTAAGGAAGTACTGCCCACCAATAAAAACAAATGAGGCTTTGATAGATGCTACAGCATCGATGGACCTTTAAAGCATTAGGATGAGTAAAAAGCCAGTTACAAAGGGCATACATTGTGTGATTGCATTTAATGAATATACACAATAGGCAATTCTATAGAGACAGAGTAGATTAATGGCAGTTTTGCTTTGTTCTGTAAAGCGCCATGAGTCAGAATCAACTCGATGGCCAAAGGTTTGGTTTGGTTTATGGCAGTCATAGGGCAGGGGTGAATGCCAAAGTATATGGATTTGGGAGGAGGGGGGGAATAATGAAACATTCTAAAATTGATTGTGATTCACAATTCTGTGAACACACTAAAAGCCATTAAATTAAGCATTTTAAATGGGTGAATTGTATTGTATATGAGCTAAATCTCAAAGCTGTTATCTTAAAAATTACAACCATACAATCACATCTATAGTATTATCAGCTGTGTGCTATAAACACAAAAATCACATATGTATGTGTTAATGATGATTTGTTTATAGGTGGTGGGTTCTTAGTGGTTTTTATAAGTAGCTCTTTGGCTTTTCTGCATGTCTTACAATGAACATGTATCCGTTTTGCAATGAGAAAATAAACAACAGACAATGAAAGCTATGCCTAATTTCTGCCTCAAAGTCGGTACTGGAAAGGAGGCCTGGACTCTGAGGGGCAGAAGACCAGGTGGAGCTCAGAGGGACATAGCAGCAGGTGTGTCCCATGAGTCCCAGAGGGGGCTGGTACTTACTCTTTTGCAGCACAGCATTTAAAACATATTCAAGCTCCTCTGCGGTCACCTCCATGTCCTGAGGGAGGGAAGACAATGGCGCTTTATGGCTCTCATCACCCACTTGTGAGGGTTTCTGCAAGGCCTGAACTTCATTGAACTCAAGGGATGAAAACACAGAGTGTCGGGGCAGTGCCTCCTAGGGAAAACGCTTGCAATTGAATAGCGGTTTCCCTGAAAAATATCATGAAGGGTAACATCCCGATGGAAGAACTTCTGGACATAGTTCAAAGGGGTGGCCTCCTCAGAGCTTAATTCAGCCTCCACCAAACAGTTCCTGGGCACCAGTCTGTGCCCGAACGTACAAAGAGCTCAGGAAATGCATTGTGCTTCCTTAGTTTCTTTGACCCCCATCCACAGGGGGCAGATTGGCATCAGAGATCTTTGGGACACGGCTGTTTGGGGGCCTCTCAGGTGACATGGCTTGTTCTTACTCTCCAACCAGACCCATCCTGCTTGGTAAGCGGCACTGATAAGACAGCATCAGACAGTCAGCACATTCATCATTGGGAAGAAGGGACGTGGCTGGAGATCAAGGTGGGTGGGCTCGGAGGGTTCTGGGGAACTAGGGGGCTGCGTGTGCATACCTCGCCTGCGATGTGCTCAAACAGGGTGCGGAACTGTCGCTCCTCCTCTGTCTCCTGGCTAGGAGAGCTTGGTTTGGGAGGCTAAAACACAAGCATAAAAACTTGTACCAAAACAAGAAAGAAGAGAGAAAGAAAACTTGCCGAGAAATAGCAGGAAAGAAGAGACCGGAATGGGCGGTATGCTGTCCCCAAGTGAGAAGCCAGTCCTTCTGAACTTCCAGGAGAAGAGAAGCTAAGCCCCACGCCCCTAAGCCTTATGTCGCTCTCTTTGTGTGGGGTCTCTGCCTGTAGCAGTCGGAGCAGCAAAGCTGACTCCATGGTTTTAATTGTTTGGGAGGGTTCTCTGGCATGGCTGTGTGGAAGGACTTGGACTCACTGAAAGATGCCCCCTTACCTTCCAGATGAGAAGGCTAAAGGAATCTTCCTAGGGCCTGAGAATTAAGGTAAGGTCTTAACCAGAGGGGACATCATAACTAGCTGTCCTTTCTCTATCTTGACCCTCACTACATTTGGCTAGGATGACTTGTTTAATCGGCAGTTCTAATAGGTGGTAAAATCGCTGAGAGCAAGAATCTGTGCTGCAGCATGAGGCGAGCTCAGGAAATGCTGGCTTGTTTTAGTCCAAGAATAAACTGCAACCAGAGAAGGTAGCACAGAGCCGCACGTTTCCTAGATTGATCTCGCCGTTGAGTTTGGAGCAGTAAAGCTTTCCCTGCTGCACTTCAGAACGTCTGGAGAGCTATTCAGCTTTTTTAAAAAGAGCTATTCAGCTTTTTAACCAACTTAAAACCTTTCACTCTCTCTTACACACATGGCATAGGGGAGGAGTGATGTTTTCCTCTGAGTCCACAGTAGAAGAATCTCTACCTGCCTCTCTTGTTTATTTATTCATTTATGTTAAACACCTATTACTTGTCTTAAATAAAATACATTTTGAGGATTTTCTCTTTCCTTCAAAGCAGCAAAAATGGAGGGAGTGGGTGATACGTCAATCAACTTTACACCCAGCACCTATATTGTTTCCATACTGGACCCTGTGTAATATTAGACTGACAGAGTCAACACTGCGTGCCAGGATGTTGCAATCACACATTTACTGATGGCAAGTAGCCATCCCTGACCTTCAGAGTCTTAAATGACACTAGTTGACCCTCCCTCTACAGAATCTCATTCAGAATAGCAACCTCAGAAGACTCACCTCAGGAAGTTCAATGTCCACACGTCCATCCATATCCCTGTTGGGGAAGAAAGCACACTGACTCAATTGTAGGCTGACTTTCTGAAAGGAACCCTGGTGGCTCTGGTGGGTAAGTGTTGGAACCACTAATCCCCCAAAATCAGTGGTTCTAACTGCTCTGCAGGAGAAAGATACAGCTATTTGCATCTGCAAAGATTAAAAAAAAACCAACAACCCCAAAAACCACTGCCATTGAACTCCAATTCCTAGCGACCCTATAAGGCAAGGCAGAGCTGCCCTGTGAGTTTGTAACTCTTTGTGGGAGTAGAATCTTTCTCCAAAGAAGTGGCTGGTGGTTTTAAACTGCTGACTTGGTGGTTAGCAGCCCAATTTGAAACCACTATGCCACCAGGACTCCCTGCAAAGATTTCCAACCAAGAAAACCCTTCATAGGGTCACTGCGAATCAGAATGGACTCAATGGAAGGGAGCTGGGTTTCCCCCCCCCCTGCCCCCCCCCCCTGCCTAATTGCAATCTATAGAGCAAAAGGACCTAGATGTACTGGGAGTTATTGCCCCATTGACACTTTCTCTTTCAGTGACAGCTGCATTCCAAAGGGGTTGTAGATCTCACCAAGAAGCCCTGGTGGCATAGTAGTTAAATATTGGGCTGCTAACTGCAAGCACAGGAGTTCAAAATCATCAGCTGCTCTGCAGGAGAAAGATGGGGATTTCCACGACCATATAGAGTTGCAGTCTCAGGGTTACTATGAGTTATAATGGACTGCGTGGTAGTGAGTTTGGCTTTTGCTTGGAAGATCCCACCATTAGCCATTGCTCAGATTGGGCAGAACAAGGTCAAGAGGGAGGCCATCACCCAATGAAGATGTGATAGGTAGGTTTATTGTGTCAACTTTGTCAATAGGAACATGTGGGATTAATAAGGTTGCAGTTTAATTGGAGGGCAAAGAGATAAATGGCCTGGCAAGCCCCATCCCTCTGGCTATTGCTCTCTGGTGATCGGACCAGCATGTGGCTGCTTTAGCGAGTTCTCTGCTTCACCTTGTGAGCTATAATACCTGTGGCACAGCCAACCCAAGGATCCTGTCACTAGAGCTTGAGATTCCTTTGAGACCTGCTATGCCACACTGCTGGTATATATATTGCTTGAATTTGAGGCTGTCAGATCCTGCCACTTTGCATTGTTTGAGTTCAATATACTATCCGGGCCTTCTTCGCTAAGCCCCTGAGCTGCTGACTGTTGGTGACCCACCCTGCTGTTTGCTGCTTGTGACTGAACTGCCTGCATTGCTGGGACTGCCTGCATTGCTGTAGGGAAGATTCAGCTGTCTGCTTCCTTGACCTTGGACCTATCAGCCCTTGTGAGTTGAAGGACTTCCAGTATATTAATTGTTCCATGGAAATGAGTTGAGCTGAACCCTCTGTACTGTGGTGTGGACTAATTAGCTGTTATATTCATTTGTGCTGTATATATTTATCCATATACACACACACACACATACACACACACATATAAAATCATAAGTGTCCTGGTTTTGTTTCTCTAGACAACCCTTTTTATCACGAGGACTAACAATTTGGAACTTCTAGGTGAAAATAAACTTTGAACACAGTTACTCCTTATTCCCTGATGAACTTTTAAAAAGGGGATTTGCAGTGTTGCAAAAAATGGATCTGTAAAATTGTAGAGCCACCAATGACCCACAGCCTAGCAGTCTCCCTGTCCACACATTCACTCACATAAACAGGGCAGCTATAAAGCAGGTGCTCCATCCTTGGAGACGATACAGCCTATTAATCATTCGTGGGGGTGGGATGGTGGCATTAAAAGGTTACAGAACAAGATGAGTCTGGACAACAAGAACACACAAACTACCCTAAAAGTTGTATCCTTTACTTCCTCACTTTCTTCACTGGGAAGGGAGACTCACAAATGTGTTTGTGTGCTTATGTTTGGGACAAAGAAGAAAATGAAAGTGCATTTTATTGTCCACATATAAGGGAACCTGTATTGCTTGCAGGCCAGTGACCTGACAGGCGGAACAGGCTTCAACTTTGGTCAAAGCAAAAAAAAAAAAAAAAAGAATTGGAAGAATCAAAACCTAAAAGCCCTCCAAGAAGAATAAGCTCAGTACCTAACTGGGCACTTTTGACCTAGTGTGTTTTCAACCCTTGTTAACCCAGGTCATGTTGACCCAGGTTTTAGACTCTGTCCTACTGAGGTACACAATATCCCTCAGAGACTGGAAGGATCTGATTCAGGACTCCCACTAAGTGAACTGGACTTTATCTTAAACACACTGATAGCAGATTAAAGAAACGGAGATATTCCCATGTTCCTAAAGCTGAAAGCTCCATGGGAGATGAAGCAGATGATACTCTCCCAAGGAAATCAACATAGAAGTCACTGGACTTTGGGTCACGATTATTGCCTTGAAGGCATCCAGTATTTGCCAACCCAAGACTACCAGATATGTGCTATCTCCATACTCTCTTTGCCTTTGTGAAAGAGCATTAATGAAAGTTTTGTCCCATCTCTGAAACAGTGTAAATGGTGTTCAAGCACCAAGTTTTTAATCTGTAGAAATCAACAATACATGTATTTTGGTCTAAAAAACTGTTCTATTCATGCATATGTACTTTCTATTTCTCCACAGTGTTTTAAATTCTATACCAGTGGTTAAATTAATGAAATTAATGATAATATCAATAGAACTACCATATGTCCCATGAGGATAATTTATAATGCCTTCAATAAAATAATAATGATGTTTTTTAAAGTGAACCAGGGACATAAAGGTATACACCACAGATACATGAATTGATTTTGAGCTCACACTTAATTGTAGCCCCAATCTAAGAACAATTAACTCTTATAATATGGCCCTACTCAGTACCTATCCTCTTAAAGTGATTACTGAAGATATGGGTGCTGTAGAAAAGTGGTGAAGAAAGCAAATGGTTCCTGACCATCAGAAAGACTAGTGTCTGGGGTCTGAATGGCCTGTCTTAAATCAGAAGCCCTCTAAATGGGACATCTGCTAAGTCCACAGAGAAGAAGTCTACCAGCATGTATGATCCAAGAACTGTAAAGAATAAAACCCACCCCTGGAAGAGGGAATGGTATTACAGCTTAAATTCTGAATACCTTGTTTGTAGAAGGATGTGGATGACATTTGAAGCCCCAAATCCATTTGCATGGTCCCTGTGCTGATTAAGCCAATGTGGAATCCCCTCTGACTTTGGACACCAGACAGTGTACATTGCAGGTTGGATTATTGCAATGGTAATTAGGTCAAAATGTGACACCTTGTTGTTGATCTCCCTCTTGATCCAATGTATATTTGCTCGAGTTTTCAATATTTTCTGATTTGTTATTGATTCAGGTTTTTGTTTCATAGTTGTTGGAGTGTCTGATTTTCTGTATATGAAACCCAGATTAGGTAAACCTATTGAGACAACAACTGGATCAACAGATTCAAATGTAAATGACAGGGGAAGCTAGTAGGAAATGGGGAGTAGAAGGAAGAAGAAATGTCCTGGAATTGATTGTGGTGATGGTTGCGCAACTCTTATGAATGTGATTGAACTATTGAAATATATGATATGTGAATTGTATGTGAGTAAAATTGTTAAAAATAAATAAACTAATTTGAAAAACCCTCTGAGAAAAAAACTAATAAACACTCAAAAGGAGTACAAATAAGCAAACATTAAGATTGGAGTCCATATCCTGACCCACCAAGCCCCAAAGGACGATATTCCTGCTCAGAGCAGCCAATTCACAGACAGGACCATAGGGCCAGCCCCACCACGACACATGACATCTCTCACTGACCCATAGCAGTACAAGGGACAACACTG